TGAATCAGTGGCACCCCTTTGTGGTGGAAGCAAAGACCTGCGGAGGTGGGCATCGTTGGTCCTATCTTGTGTGACCAAGGAGACTCCGGTGAATCCAGGGAGTCGGAGGGGCTGAGTATTTGGGCCCTTTGAGCCCCTAGCAGCCGAGTGTTAGCAGAGCCCCGGACCGCCCACCCCCACGTGACATAACACGAATTTTCTCAATCTTTCGTACATTATGCTTCACTGTTGGAGGTAAATCAAAAATCACTTCTCCAAAATTCATTTTTATTTCTAGTCTGACGCGACACGGGCGCGTTTCGTAAAACTTATTACATTTTCAAAGACTTCACAAATACACAACTGATTAGAACTTGCGTTTCCCTGATTTTATATCTACATTTGAGTGAGGTGGGAAGGGTGATGTGGCATTACATTTGAGTAAGGTGGGAAGGATGATGTGGCATTAGAGGATATTAATAGGGTATTAAAAGTATCAACACAAGACAGAACACTGTTTGTAGAAAGCCTATTGGTCCATATTTCTTGATGCTTCTATATTGGAGCGGAGTCTTGAGGTGGGTAGAATATAGTTGTGCAATAATTGGCTGTTGATTGCTGGTGTTGACTTCTTGATGTGTAGTGCCTCGCAATCTGTACCCACGTACAGATTGGCGAAGCGACTCAACGGCCTGCTGACTCCTTATGTTCCTTGCGCCTTCAGCCTGAAGTCTCCAAAGGAATTTGTGGACTTACTGCGGGGCGCACGGGCCACAGGGATAAGAGCCTCGTTGGACGTAGAATCGCTGTTTACCAACGTACCTGTGGACGAGACAATCGGAATGATAGCCGACAGAGTGTATCGTGATCCAGCCTGTACTCCTCTTGACATGCCAGAAAGTATTCTGAGGAAACTACTCCAAGCTTGTACTAAAGAGGCACCCTTCTTGAGCCCGGATGGGCACATGTATAAGCAAGTAGATGGGGTCGCTATGGGTTCTCCCCTAGGTGTCCTGTTTGCAAACTTCTACATGGGTACCATCGAGCAAAAAGTCTTAGTCGACATGAACTTGAAACCGGCCATATACTGCAGGTATGTTGACGACATTTTTACACAGGTACCTGATGTCAGACATCTGCAGGAGCTGAAGGAGGCATTTGAGCAGAGTTCCGTGCTGCGTTTCACTTACGAGACGGAAAAGGATGGGAAGCTGCCTTTTCTAGATGTAACAGTCATGGAAAAGGGCGGAGGTTTCCACACTGCAGTCTACACTAAGGAAACAAACATAGGAATGTGCCTAAATGCCAACAGCGACTGCCCCGACAGGTACAAGAGGAGTGTTGTTAACGCATACGTCGACCGTGCTCTCAGCCACAGCTCAGAATGGAAGCAAGTCGACGAAGAACTCTGTAGGGTAAGGCAGGTTCTAGTCAATAACGGCTTCTCCAATGGTTTCATCGAAGACATCATAAGAAGGAAAGTGAAAAGCCATGCAACCTCCGAAGAGACAACTAACACAACACCTATACCCCCTATTAGACTATTTTACAGGAACTTCTTTTCCACAGCTCATAAAACAGAGGAAAGGGTCCTGAAAGATATTGTTAATAGAAACGTTATCCCTACAGACAAAAATCAGAGGATACAACTGACGATTTACTATAAAACCAGAAAAACGGCCAGCCTACTCATGAGAAACTCTCCAGACACGAAACAGAACGCTTTAAAAGAGACTAACGTCGTCTATGCCTTCAAATGCCCACTTGGGGACTGTAAGCTCCAAAAAACCCAGTATATAGGCAAGACAACAACATCTCTTTCTAGGCGTTTAACGATGCATAAACAACAGGGCTCCATTAAGGAACATATAATCTCTTCCCATAACCAAACCATCGCCAGAGAAATCCTAGTAAACAACACAGAAATCATCGATAGATACAGCGATAGCAGGCGGCTCGACGTTTGCGAGGCACTACACATCAAGAAGTCAACACCAGCAATCAACAGCCAATTATTGCACAACTATATTCTACCCACCTCAAGACTCCGCTCCAATATAGAAGCATCAAGAAATATGGACCAATAGGCTTTCTACAAACACTTCTATTCAATATCCATTGTTTCGTGTTCTGTCTTGTGTTGATACTTTTAATACCCTATTAATATCCTCTAATGCCACATCATCCTTCCCACCTTACTCAAATGTAATGCCACATCACCCTTCCCACCTCACTCAAATGTAGATATAAAATCAGGGAAACGCAAGTTCTAATCAGTTGTGTATTTGTGAAGTCTTTGAAAATGTAATAAGTTTTACGAAACGCGCCCGTGTCGCGTCAGACTAGAAATAAAAATGAATTTTGGAGAAGTGATTTTTGATTTACCTCCAACAGTGAAGCATAATGTACGAAAGATTGAGAAAATTCGTGTTAGAATTATTAATCTTACTTTTTCGGTCATATTTAATAAAATATATATATATATATATATATATATATATATATATATATATATATATATATATATATATATATATATATATATATATATATATATATATATATATATATATATATATATATATATATATATATATATATATATATATATATATATATATATATATATATATATATATATATATATATATATATATATATATATATATATATATATATATATATATATATATATATATATGATAATGTCAGACCACGGAGGAAAATGAAACAGGAATTTCCTTAAGTACTTTCGTATATTAAATACATCTTCAGAAGGAATGATTTTACAGATCGAGTGATGGGTATAAATAGGCAGGAGAGAGTGGTGAAGTATGGTGAGGTACAATACTTGGACAACGCAGACGGCCCATTGGCCCATCAGATGCACCCAATTGGCCCATCCGATGTAGCCCAATGGCCCATCTGATACAGCAGACATACAAGCACAATACATAGGTAATTATAACATAAAGAGGTAAATATATCTATTTATATATAGATAAAATGCTATGCCCAAGATTACCATCCGAGTGCCGGCGGGGAAGTTGTTCAAATAGCTTCGGCTATCACTTCCTTATGTCCGGTCGTGATGGTCAAGCGGATTAAGGCGTCCCTGTACATACCAGTTACGTTGCTCCTGGCAGTATGGGTTCGAGTCACATCTGGGGTGTGAGTTTTCAGTTATATATATATATATATATATATATATATATATATATATATATATATATATATATATATATATATATATATATATATATAACTGAAAACTCACACCCCAAAAGTGACTCGAACCCATACTCCCAGAAGCAACACAACTGGTATGTACAAGACGCCTTAATCCACTTGACCGTCACGACCGGACAAAATGAGGTGATAGCCTAAGCTATTTGAACCACCCCAACACCGGCACTCGGATAGTAATCTTGGGCATAGCATTTTACCAAATCACCTCATTCTTTGGGGCACACGTGAGGAACATAAATGCGAACAAGCCTGAATGGTCCCCAGGACAATATGCAACTGAAAACTCACACCCCAGAAGTGACTCGAACCCATACTCCCAGAAGCAACGCAACTGGTATGTACAAGACGCCTTAATCCACTTGACCATCACGACCGGACAAAATGAGATGATAGCCTAAGCTATTTGAACCACCCCAACGCCGGCACTCAGATAGTAATCTTGGGCATAGCATTTTACCAAATCACCTCATTCTTTGGGGCACACGTGAGGAACACAAATGCGAACAAGCCTGAATGGTCCCCAGGACAATATGCAACTGAAAACTCACACCCCAGAAGTGACTCGAACCCATACTCCCAGAAGCAACGCAACTGGAATGTACAAGACGCCTTAATCCACTTGACCATCACGACCAGACAAAATGAGGTGATAGCCTAAGCTATTTGAACCACCCCACCGCCGGCACTCGGATAGTAATCTTGGGCATAGCATTTTACCAAATCACCTCATTCTTCTTTCCTCAATCTTCAAATAGCTTAGGCTATCACCTCATTTTGTCCGGTCGTGATGGTCAAGTGGATTAAGGCGTCTTGTACATACCAGTTGCGTTGCTTCTGGGAGTATGGGTTCGAGTCACTTCTGGGGTGTGAGTTTTCAGTTGCATATTGTCCTGGGGACCATTCAGGCTTGTTCGCATTTGTGTTCCTCACGTGTCCCCCAAAGAATGAGGTGATTTGGTAAAATGCTATGCCCAAGATTACTATCCGAGTGCCGGCGGTGGGGTGGTTCAAATAGCTTAGGCTATCACCTCATTTTGTCCGGTCGTGATGGTCAAGTGGATTAAGGCGTCTTGTACATACCAGTTGCGTTGCTTCTGGGAGTATGGGTTCGAGTCACTTCTGGGGTGTGAGTTTTCAGTTGCATATTGTCCTGGGGATCATTCAGGCTTGTTCGCATATATATATATATATATATATATATACTAGCATGGATAGCGTTTTGGACAGGTCCCTAATCATAACTTTTTTCTGAATACAACCCACCAAATCTTTTAACTACCAGGTACCCATTCACTGCTGGGTGAACAGAGGCTACAGTTAAGGATCGGAACCCAGTCAATCCTTCCTGGCTAGGATACTAGCCCAGGCCTGAAGCACCGGGCCTGGGCTTGCCACTGCGCCACAGAGACTCCTAAATGAACAGTTGCATTAGATGAAAGGAAACGTTGACAACCATTCCGATTCTATCATGTAATCGAACCAGGGATCTACGATTGTAAGTCGAGAACAAGACTAATTGTAGTATTAATAATTACCCCTTACAAGCTTCTTCATCATGACGGTCAGATTGCTGAGAATGTCCATGTGCAGGATGCTGCAGGAGTCAGTGTGTGTTAACTGACTCGCACACCAAGTAAATACCACTGTAAGAACACTCACTGCCAAGAAGGCTACACTATCCCAACCCTCACTAACCTTTCCCCATACACATTTTCACTACTGAGTGACTACATTAAACTAATCCTCACTCCCCGCATTGCATAAACTTTTAGGGAGACTTCACTAACTTAGCCACGCTTTTCTTCCCAGCATTTGAACGATTGCCACGAGGAGATTCAGTACGGGTGGTAGTCGGGATATGGCTTCTCTTGACCCTAATCGTCGGGACGGTGTACCGCTCCAACCTCAACGCCATGCTAGCCCTTCCGAAGCTGCATCTACCCTTCAATAATCTGGAGGAGCTGGTGGACAAGGGTATCCCGTGCTTCATCAACAGGGGCACCATGGTGCACCAGTTCATAGAGGCAAGTTTAATCTAGTGACTCTTAATAAGGAAATATTCCAGAAACAGCATCCTGCTGCCAAACTGTGATTTTCGTCTTTCCCTGACTACTACTGAAGCTCCAAAGAATTAGTAATTAACTCCCATATCATTTAATTGTTATCCACACTTCCATGGAAATAAACATTAAGACTAATCAATTGCTCGTTTTCTTGTCCCCTCTGGGAAAAGAAAACGGGGTCTCATTAATTACATAAGTAACAATATATCTATACAGCTTATTGATGTCCTCCACATATAATCATATAATAACCTATGTCTACATATAATCAACCTATGTTGATTATATGTATTGGCTGGTATAATCAACTGATGTTCATTATTCCAACTACAGAATAAACTTGGCACAAGTTGAAAAATGTTAGCACCCACACTTTGATGCCGTCATCAGCCCAATGTCAATGGACGGAAACTGTCACTCTGTGTTATTGGGAAGTGAAAATCTTAGGGTCCTGGTTGATGAACAGCCAACTCACCTCAGAGGAGGAAGATTAGACTCTGCTCTTCTGCTGGATGCACAGGACACGGATGCCAGTACACACACTGTACACAGTTTATGTAGTGACCATTGGGCATTGGTTACCACCATCGACATGAGCAAGAGAAGGAAAGAGACAAATACAAGAAAAAGGTTATCACTCGGACCAGATATGAGGCCGCACTTCATAAACAAGATGAGTGACTGGTTCACGGAATACCAAATCCCAGAAGACATTGTTAAATTTACCAGAAGACATTGATAAATTTGTTGATGACCTTAATAACCAAATTGAGAGCTGTCTCAGAGTTCTGGGCCGTACGACTGAACGAGGTTCCTCTCAAAATAAGAAAATAAAATAGTGTGAGAACGATTACATAAAGATGCTCAATGCAAATGTAAATTGCACGAGTAAAGATTACCGGAGACATCCCACTGAAAGCAACCAAGAGCTGATTAAAACTGTGTGTCAAGAAGCCAGGGAAGAGAAGATTAAAGAGCGGGAAAGACAAAGGCATGGCTTCACAAGCTCCATTGGAAGAGAAACGTCTGCAAGACAAATGTGGGCAAAAATTCAGATTGCTAAGTGAGGCAGAACCCGACCTGCGGCACACAAAGACCACAAGGGTAAGGCTGAGGAACTATTACACAAGTGGAGTGATGCAGCCTCCCCCTTCTCCCTCCATGCAGAAATAAGCTTTAGTAGTAGGCATCTTTTAGTCTCGGGAGACTATGGAGTTGCGCTCTGGTTGCTCTCCAGGATGCAAACCCTGGGTAGGTCAATATGGAGGAGAAGCCGTTACCCATGCAGCAGGTCCTCCCCTCTCCACGTTGCTGAAATTATCCAAGGGAAAGGCAAATGCCAATACACATGGTTCCAGTACCGTCGCAGGAGCTGCCAGAGCGAGGTTGAAGTCGACAACGAACTGCCTTAGGGGCTCCAACTCCTGATTTTTCCTCGAGGTTGACTCCTGAAGCCTTTCCCAAAAGAGGGGTATGGCCGCAAGGCAGCAGAGGTTTAGAATCAGGGTTTTCCTTCCCCTAGATGAGCTGCCTTCCCAGGCTAAAGAGTCCCATCTACCCCAGAGCAGCTGGTTTTAAGGCGCCAGAGGCACGCCCCCATCCTTTCTCCTGTCAGTAAAAGCAGTTCCACCGGACTTTGACTAAGCCACCTGTGCAGGCCAGGAGTTGGACTTGGTTGACAGAGGCTATTGGAGACGCATTTATAGGTCATGTGACCTTATTCCCCATTACCAATTCCCCTGGCTATGACAGCCCTTTGGAACCCAGAGAAGGAGAGAGATACACAGACAGAAAGGCAGGCAAAGAAAGATTGAGAGAGAAAGAGAAACTGAGAGAGAAAAGAGAAACTGAGAGAGAGAAAGAGAAACTGAGAGAGAGTGAGAGAGACATTGATGGAGAGGGAGAGAGACCGACAAACACAGAGCAAGAGAGAGAGAAAGAGAGACAAAGAGAGTGAGACAAAGAGAGAGAGAGAGAGAGAGACCATGGGAGAAAGAAACTATATAGAAATCCAGAAACAAAGAGGGAGACAGAGAAAATAGTGAGGTGGAGAGAGAGAGAGAGAGAGAGAGAGAGAGAGAGAGAGAGAGAGAGAGAGAGAGAGAGAGAGAGAGAGAGAGAGAAAGAGAGAAAGAGAGAGAGAGAGAGAGAGAGAGAGAGAGAGAGAGAGAGAGAGAGAGAGAGAGAGAGAGAGAGAGAGAGAGAGAGAGAGAGAGAGAGAAAGAGAAAGAGAAAGAGAAAGAGAGAGAGAGAGAGAGAGAGAGAGAGAGAGAGGAAAGAGAGACTCAAAGACATTGAAAGACAGAGTAGGATGCAGAAGGAAATAATGAATTAGTAGGATAGAGACCGGACAAGGAGACGGACAGAAAGAGTCAGAAAATCAGACAGACAGACACACAGAGAAAGAGAGATAAGTAAACAGGCAGACAGACAAACAAGAGAGGTTGAGAGATAAAGAGAAAGACAGAAAGGAAGTAAAAAAGAAAGAGAGAGTGACAGATTCAGAGAGAGATCATAGAATGAGACAGATGGAGACAGACACAGACAGACAGACAGACAGACAGACAGACAGACAGACAGACAGACAGACAGACAGACAGACAGACAGACAGACAGACAGACAGACAGACACAGACAGATGTAGACAGACACAGACAGACAGACAGACAGACAGACAGACAGACAGACAGACAGACAGACAGACAGACAGACAGACAGACAGACAGACAGACAGACAGACACAGACAGACAGACACAGACAGACAGACATGTAGAGAATGAGCGAAGAAGAAGAGTCAGAGAGACGAATATACAGACGGAGAAAAACACAAATAGACTGAGAGACAGATGAAAGACAAGATATGCAAAGAGACAGAGAGAAAGACAGACACAGAGATAATGATAAGGAAAGATAGATAGATTGACAGAGAGAGGAGAGAGTGGGTGAGACATAGAAAGACAGAGACTCAGGTGGGGAGAGAGGGAGAGACAGACAGACGTGGAGATGGTCAGAGGGAAAGAGACAAGATAAACAAAAAGGCAGAGAGAGAGAAGGACATACAAAAACAGGGAGAGAGAGAGAGAGAGAGAGAGAGAGAGAGAGAGAGAGAGAGAGAGAAGAGAGAGAGAGAGAGAGAGAGAGAGAGAGAGACGAAGTTAAAGGGAGGAGAGAGATAGAGATAGAAAGAAGAGGAGAGCGGGAAAGAATAGCAGAGAGATAGAGGGAGAGGAGAGAAACAGAGGGGAAGAGGCACAGTGAAAGAGACAGAGATGGATAGTGACAGAGAAGGTACAGACAATGTGGTAAAGAAACAGGGATGGAAGAACAGAGTTTTTTATTAATATTTTCTACCACAGACGTGGCCACACATTTACAATGCTAACCACACATATATACATTTTCTTCTGTCCTCCATGGACAGGGTTAGAGATCTGTTAAACATGTAGTTCAGGGATTTATTGAACAATCAATTATAAAAGGTGATTGTAGTGCTTTTAAAATGCAAGGGTAAGCTACATACGCAAATACATAAATACACAGAATTACGTATGCCCTACATAAAGTGTTCGATGTGTCTTATATATAGTGTCATTAATGTGCATTTACAAATGCGAAATGTAATTCTGATCAGCTTCCACATATATTTTATACACATACATACACACACACACATATAAGTACAAATACATTATACATACATATATACACACACACACATACATTTGTCTCTTTTAAGTTTAACTAAGTTCGTCATTTGACAGCCCTTATGAACTCTAGTCTTAGTTTAAAAAAAAGTGGAGAGAGAGAGAGAGAGAGAGAGAGAGAGAGAGAGAGAGAGAGAGAGAGAGAGAGAGAGAGAGAGAGAGAGAGAGAGAGAGAGAGAGAGAGAGAGAGAGAGAGAGAGAGAGAGAGAGAGAGAGAGAGAGAGAGAGAGAGAGAGAGAGAGAGAGAGAGAGAGAGAGAGAGAGAGAGAGAGAGAGAGAGAGAGAGAGAGAGAGAGAGAGAGAGAGAGAGAGAGAGAGAGAGAGAGAGAGAGAGAGAGAGAGAGAGAGAGAGAGAGAGAGAGAGAGAGAGAGAGAGAGAGAGAGAGAGAGAGAGAGAGAGAGAGAGAGAGAGAGAGAGAGAGAAAGATGAACATTCCACTCTGATGAGGGGTGATAGGGGTGAGGGGTGACAGGGTGAGATAGGTGATAGAGAAACTAGTGTGCAATTAAGCAGTTAATCACTGAAGATGATTAAGGTGCTTTCACAAGCTCAGGTTATATAGTTACATCACATACATTCATTGTATAATTGATACATTACATGGTCAATCTAGGGTACAAGTCCAATATATCAAGTGTTCCAGTACTAATATAGTAGTTACAGAGTTCAGCATACCTTAGCCCAGGAGGGCGAAAGTCAGTCAATATAGAACATTCTACATTCTACAATATAATGTTCAAGAGAGTCCATGTTTTCACTTTCACAGAGTTGACACATGGTGTACTGGACATTTGGGTTTTGAGAAAGCTGCCAGATACGTCTATATCCCAGGCGTATTCTGGCCACTATAACATCACATTGCCGGGTTCTTGTTCTATTAGTTCCATATGTGAATGTCTCCTCACGATATCTATCATAATATTTAATGCTACAACTTTCAGGTCTTTGTGAATTTGTTAGGTCGGTGAGATTTTCATTATATATTTGTTTAAGTATTCTCTTTGTCACTGCTAATGAAACACCCATATCAATTTGTACCACTGGTTTTCTGCAGGCTGACTTAGCAAGCATATCAACAGTGTCATGCCTTGAAATGTCAACATGTGATTGTATACATAGAAATATAATTTCAAATCTGTTTTTTTTTGGCAGCTAAAACATTCATTCGAATATCACTGACTATTTTCTGGGTGTTACTACTTTGTGCGTTCAATGCCAGGAGTGCACTCTGCGAGTCACAGTATATAAGTCCACTGCCT